TCAATTATGTGTTTTAATGGAATCCATAATTTGTCCTCAAGTTATGGATTTCCAAATGTCACTTTCTTTTAATGTACATTTAAAGCACATAAGTTACATAAAAATGAAGAGTCTTCACTTTTATGAACCCTTAACTCTTAACTTATGAAATGAAAGGTTTTGAATAGTTTCAAAACTTGCCCTCAAGTTTTGGATTTGTAAAGACACACACACTTTAATTCCAACCCTTAGGATTTTAAAAGTTAAAATTCAACCCTTATACTATTATAAGATTAATGGTTAATATTTATATCTATATAAGATCAAGTCGTTTTACCTTTAGTAGGCCTCATTCACGAAGCCGGTCTATAAGGGGGGTATAAGGTTGTTGCCTATAAAATGGCAGCTTAATAGGTGTCCACTCTCACCCACCGCTTCCTAGATTGGTGGAGGGTCGTTAGCCAAACGGGTAGGACAATGACTTTAATTCTCATTAAAAGTATAATGATTATTATAAAGTAACTAAATGTTTTATAAATTCCCAATCTTAGTTACTTTAGGAAAATGTGAAAATGGTGCTAACCCATGAAATTAACACTTTGTACCTTACCAAGTCGTTTTACCTTTAGTACCCATGAAATCAATCATACTATATCAATCATTCAATCGTATCACTCACATAAGGTGAGTTCATACCCCTACAAATTACAGTGTTATATGCTTTTAAATGCTTTTAAGGGGGAGAATACAAGTAGAACACGATATAATTATGTTAACCACTTACATGTGAAAACATAAAACAAAAGGATTTCTTATACTCAAACACTTGTTAAAACCATTTTAAAACTATTCGTAGATTTCCGTTTATATCAAAATCATATTCGTGTATCTATTTATGTATAAGTATGCTTTAACGGACTTAGGACTATTCCTAAATACCTTGACTCCTGTTCCTTGTTTGGTTGTGGGCTAAGGGTAGGATCACTAGTCCGACTGTCGGCTAAATCATAGTTATACTCATTGAATACATACATTAATATTAAACCCATTTTTAAGGAACATACTAACTCAGTTGCTTATGTTGAACAATTGAGTCTTTTCTACAAATTAGTAACAGTTCAAACAAACATACTAGTAAACTATAATAGGTATAGTTTAGAGGATTTCTACATACTATTTCTAGATCAGAGAAACATACATGAGTCAGTACATACATACTATAACAAGAACCAGAAGGAATATACATACTATAACAAGAACAAGAAGGAATATACATACTATAACAAGAACCAGAAGGAATATACATACTATAACAAGAACCAGAAGGAATATACATACTATAACAAGAACCAGAAGGAACATACATACTATAACAAAAACAAGATAACTAAAATGTGAGATGTTATTTCATGGCATGGCAATATCCTTGCTATGTCACGTTTTATAACCAGAGTCTCCTGGAGGGAGAGCGTGAGTTTGTGTATAGATCTATACTGGATTGACAATCCTACACCTTGCTGCTAGCTACAGTAGGACATGCAAGTCTACGGGTGACAAATGTCATATCATTTTCGACGCCTGAAGAACGTCGTGTTTTATACTAGTCAATCAAGCATGGTTATAACCTTAATCACATTTTAACCTTAAATTAACCAGTTTAGTTACAAGGTAGTTAATGCATCAGTAGTGTATTTTATATAACACTACTGTAAATCTTCATTTTCCATTTACATTCATACAGTGATATCCTCACATGAGAAATGCATACTATTTTTCAAGTAAAGATAGTTACCTATATGGAAAAACATACATTTATACTATTTCAAGTACAAACATACATTTTATACTTTATTCAAGAGAACAGAGCATACAAACAGTTGAGTCTTGGTAGAAGACTACTTTTCATTTTAGAAGAAAATATAGGATTTTCTGGAAATTATACAAACATTTTCATTATACATATACAAACATTTTCATGAAACAAATGCAAACACTTGACACAAAAATACTTATGCACTCACTCAAGTTTTATGTTGATACTCTCTTTCAAAATAACTTGTATTCTCAGGTCACCAGTAGACAGGTACACTAGACCAAGTTTTTGAGAAGACGGAGCATGTTCAATACTCGTCTTATATTTTGTTAAATATACATTTTTGGTGTTATACAACTATTCACAGAACACACATGTATTAACTATTTTATTAATGTAATGGATGTTGTTGCTTGTTTTACTATTGTGCAATGTTATGATACTCTACATGACGTCCTCCGCCCCCGAACGTTTCCGCCGTTCTGGTTTAGGGGTGTGACATCGTCTCATGTTTTTCTACTTTTCAGTTATTTGTATTCAACTCTTGAACAAACAGAGTTTTTGTAAACAATGTAATACTTGAATTCTCAATGTATGAATGTTTATGTTGCTATGTTTCATTACTATTCAATTGTTATGATACTGTACATGAAGTCACTCCATCCGCCCTCAAACGTTTCCGCCGTTCTGATTTGGGAGTGTGACAATGCGGTTGTGATATCAGCCTTTTGGTGCCTTTAGAATTTTCGAAATTCCATCATTTTTGGAACGGTGTTGCCTAGGAAATCTCTTATTTTTTATGATATTGTTGAAAGAGCATTTTTTTTTTGGATTTCTAATAGATGTAGAAAAACTAAGCTTGTTTGGACTGCTTGACTCCATAATCCTGCTTTAGCTTTTATTATGTTGTAATGTTTCTTTTTCTAGCTTCTTGTTAGTTGTTTATAAAATTTTCCGCCTATCCACAAAAAAATGTAATACGTTGTTTTATTTTAGAATTGCAAATAATATATTAATATACTATATAAATTAACCAGTGGTTGCATTTTTTTCATGTATCTAGAGATATTGTAAAGTTGCATTTTTTTCATGTACATAAAAAAATCAAAAAATAGTAAAACACTCCATAACACGTGGTTCAGGTGCATGGAAAATACAAATCAACTGCAAGTCAGTTTATCAAAACCCAACTTTTTCCAAAATTTAAATTTAAATATAAAATAAACAAATAAAAAGGTCACACTCTTTTTGTCATGTTCTCCACGAGCTCACGCATTAAGAAACGCAAAGAACACAGAAATGGACATATGCAGTAGAAGACTTCATTTGTCTTCATAAACACCCAAAAAACCCTAATTTCATCCCCCATTTGCACCTTCTTGCACTCCATAAACTCCATTATTCTGTCAAATCTCCTGCTTACTCAGGTTCCCATTCATCACCTTCCTCAATTTGTTTCTTTCGCATGCATTTGTGTGTGCGGATTTGTATGTTTTTATGAAAAAAAAAAACTTTTCTAGCTTTGGTAACAGTGACAGCCACCTATATTGAAGACGTTTAATTGTGCTGTTATTGCAGCTTTGGTTGTTTAATCGTTCGAAGCAACTTTTTATTCATTGTTGTGTGTGTGATGAAGACACGTTTTTAGCTTTTAAATGTTCAAATTGTGCAATTATTTGGGGCATTTCTAATGAATTGTACTGGAAAATGTTGCAGAGATGAAATAGTACGATTTCATAGGCCTTAATGCTAGTTCAGAGGTTCAAAATCGTGGTCCGGTCATCGATAATTGGCTTCCATTACTGACTTACTGTCATTTTGGACTGCGTCTATTATTTGACTCTCTCTCTCTCTCTCTCTCTCTCTCTCTCATAAGCACACACATTCCTTCACTCAGTTCGTTTCTGCGAATTTGTTGAATGAGAAAAAAGGGAGGAAAAGAGGGGAAAATGGGAAGACTACCATGTTGCGATAAAGGCGAGGTGAAAAAAGGTGCTTGGACCCCTGAAGAAGACAGGATACTTCTCGATTATATTACTAAGAACGGCCATGGCACTTGGCGTTCTTTCCCTAAACTTGCAGGTTCTCTCTCTCTCTCTCTCTCTCTCTCTCTCTCTCTCACTATGCTTTTTCACATTCGACCCCAAATCTAGCTGTTGAGACGAATTTTCACTTTCGTGAAGCGATGATCAGATTGGTGGTAAAGTTATTATCCAGATCTCGTATGTGTCCCCACTAATGGTGTTCATGGAAGCTTTATCCAAACACACGACCTAAGGTTGCCTCTATAGAAATTGTGGATTGTCCTTTGATCATCTCAATATTTCTTTTGCCAAAAAAGTTGTGAACCGCGGAGTAATTGCTTGAATGTACAAGTTACTTAATTCATGACCCATGGAATAAAAATATATTGAGATCAAGACAACCCTAAAAACAATAAGAATCAGACACCAAATTCTGAATATACACACATGACAATAAATACCAAATCAGTCCCTATGTAGACAGCCTTTCCCTGAATCAATAGGACCACTGCCCAATGCACATACACTCATAAATAGGGTACACCCATTAATTAAGAAATGGCAAATCATTATCTTTTTCCGGCAGGTCTCCGGCGATGTGGAAAAAGCTGTAGGCTGAGATGGACAAACTATCTTCGTCCTGATATAAAACGTGGTGCTTTCACTTTTGAAGAAGAGCAAACCATTTTCCAGCTGCATACCTTGCTTGGTAACAAGTAATCAACCACTTCACTAACTCTTAACTCTCTTTATTTAAATATTTTCTTTTTTCCTCTTTATTAAGTTCTGTATGGGTAAAGTGGAGATTAAGTCAAAAAAAAATTATATAATATGCAGGTGGGCAGCTATAGCATCAAGGCTGCCAGGAAGAACAGACAACGAGATAAAAAACTACTGGAACTCTCATTTAAGGAAACGCATCCCAAATTTACAAGCCAACTCAGATTCCATGTCAGCAGAAGATATAAAACCCAAGCTCTTGTCAACCAGCCACATGGCAGAATGGGAGAGTGCCAGGGTGGAGGCGATGGATCCCATTGTTACTGGTGGAGGCGATTGTGACTACTTTATGAAAGCATGGAATTCTGTAGGTGGTGATGCGTTTCAAAGAGGAAAGGAATTGGAATTGGTGATTAAAGTGGAATCGGAATCGGTGATTACAATGCAAGCTGAGGAGGGGACGAATAGTAATTCCTACTCTCCAAACTCTTATAAAACAGAGAAATCATCTGATATAACGTTGGACCTGTTGCTTGATTTTCCAAATGAAGGGGAATATCTAGAATATTTAAATGATAATTCGGCTTAGAAAATGTTTGGTTGTTTGTAATCGGTAATCCTTCTTACTTATTTACTCTAAGACTTGTTAGGAATCTGAAACTTCTTGATAGAAATGTTACTTTTGAAACTTGGTTGTTACATATGTATATATTTTATTTTGTTCTAGGTACAAAATGCACACAAAAAATAATAATAATCAAAACATGAAATCATGAAATCAATCTTTTACAATACACAAATAAACAAAACTTTAAAAGATTTGCAAAGAAGCTTTGTTATTTAGAAAACCATCTGAGTAGTTTCTTAGGGGTAGCTCCAGTAGCACGACACTTAGCTGCAAGCTCTTCTGCTTTCAATACATCTTCTCCACGTTTGGCTTCTGTGTTTGCCCTCTTTTCTTCTGCTGTTTTGTGAAGGAGAGCTACTTTGTTCTTCATCTTCTCTATGTATTTAGCCTTTTTCTTCTCCAGAGTCTCCTGTTTATCAAAAACTTGAAGAATCAATATAACTAAATGAAGAAGATCGTTAACATCGTTGTTTTGGGAATTGAAATTGAGCAATTGACCTCGATCTTTTTCAATTCAGCTTCCAGTTCTGCTCTTTTGCTGTTCTCCCATGCTCCAATGGCAGCTAGCTTCTTCTCGGCTCTATTCAACATTCCAGAGTTTTAAAATTTTTTAATCGAGCTTCTGATTTTATGTTTTATGCTATATGTTTGTAGATTTCTTACTTGTTATCGATTTTGGATCTCTCGCTCTCTTCCCATGCTTTGATGAGTGCGCCTTTCTTCTCTGTTGCGACTCGAGCTAGGACAACATCTGATTATAATTTATAAAAACGATAAAATCAAATATCAAAAATCAAAACCAGGCTTCGATTCTGATTCTCAACAAATTAATTATGATTTACGAGTAATGAAACAGAGAATTGATGAACGATGATGCTACCTCTGTCCACCGAACCCTCTGTTGGTTTCTCCTCGCAAGGCTCTGACTCTGGCATATAAACAAACAGTTAGAGTGCATCTGTGCATCAACTTTACGCTGTAGATATCACAGATAAAATGAGACTTACTTTCTTCAACGGAAACGGTTTTGGCTTCATCGGTGGGTTTTTCCTCAGGAACGGGAGGTGTGTTCTCCACGACGGTGGGTGGAGGAGGAGGCGGTGGCTCAGCCACGCACTCGGGTTCGACCTCTACCTTCTTTGCTTCTTCAACAGCCATATTTTGTTGATTTACAGTTGAGGTGTAGAAAATTGAGGGTTTATGAGTTTGTGGGGATTGATGGAGTGGGAGGTTTAAGATTTATAGACTGCAGGATTTGGAATGAGCTGGTGACACCTGCCATTAACAGACTGTTCCTTGTGTAATGTGTTTGTTTATCGGTTTTCTTCCAATCGTGTTTGAGGAATAAATCGAATAAACACTCTGTTGTTTATCACCTCATGTCATCTCTCATTTCGTCGTCAATGCCTCTGAGAATATAAATTCGTGTTGTCACAAATAAAAATTTGATAGTTTTCGATACTTGCCATGCAGACCATGTCAATTCTGTTTTTGTTTGCTTCTTATTATCTTGTTCTTGTTAAGAGTTTGAATCTAAAATATGTCAACAAGAAAGATCTCCTAAAAACGTAATTCTTTTTATATTATACAAGAGTAAATATTATAATTATAAAATAAGGTATAGCATATATATATAATACATAAATTATACTAAGATGTCCGTTTTTAATACAAAGGTTGGTGAGTTGTTGGCTCCCTCATTCCAGTGTTCCACCTTTACTTAATCGTACCCAACAACTAATCAAGGCTCATCGTGGCCTCGTTTTAGTTTTTAAAACTAATTTATAATAATATAACAAACATGATTCCCTTGAAAATATGGGTTAAATTTTATAATTGACGATGCATTTTTATTAGTTTTTGATTTGGTTAAGGAAATATGAAATTTATCAAGAATGACATCTTGGTAAATTCTTATGCTTGCATTGAAACGTAATTGACTATCACTCGAGCCCGAGGACATTTAGTTTATACCAATGATTTTTTCTAGACTCACATAAATTATTGTCATATTTATATAATTAATTTGAGTAGTTGTAAACGAGAAAGAGTTGTACTTATAGGAAAAGATTTTTGTTACAAAGGTCATTGTATACAACCATGTTCTCATTAACCACAATTTTTGTTTTTGTTCCTTATATGCTATTATATTTTGGATTTTTTTTTATTTTGGGCGATTGGGTGGTCACCAACAAGTTATGGTGATGTATCGGTTTTGCTAACATAATTTTTTTTTTCTCGGTTTACATTTAACCCCAACATTTACACATCACTTTGTGTTTAGCCACAACATTTTTATGTTCTCCATTTGCCATTATTTTTTGGATTTCTTTTTTTCGTTTTTAGCCCTTGACCCTTAAAATGAAAAAGAAAGAGACGTCGAAGGCAAGAGCCGAAACCGCAACTTCTCATTGATGGGCAGTGCGTGTTAGCTAATAAGCCAATTGCTTCTTCTCTTCGTGTATTACTAGTGTTTATTGTATTTAATGTATACATATATTTTAAAATAAGGAAAAACACCTAATGTAAATCTCAAATCTGTGACATCTAATAAACAATACAACATGTTAATCTATTATCCAATCAAATTTGTTAATTCATTGGTAATTCATCTAAGAAACAACTAGCTATTTCTAATGACATATTCGTTAAAAAACCAAAGAAATGAGATCATATATGTTGAGAAACTAAATTGTTGGCTATATATAATGGCATATTTATTAATGCATTTTTAACTTGTTGACTCGAATTATGATGGGATGACAACTAAATAAGTCTTTATGCCATAACAAAGAGAGCCTTTAGCTCTCTCTCTCTCTCTCTCTCTCTCTCTCTCTCTCTCTCTCTCTCTCTCTCTCTCTCTCTCTCTCTCTCTTAAGAAAAGTCGCGAATCAGCGCCTTATAGTAGCACCCAAAACAACAGCCAAGAAATACACGATTTCTTAACAATTATGTCATTAGAAATATCTAATTGTTTCTTAAATGAATTACGAATGAATTAACAATTTTGATTGGCTCAAAGATTAACACGTCACATTGTTTATTAGATGTCCTACATTCGATACTTACACTAGGTTTTTTCCTTCATTTTATAATATATTAGCTAACACATCACCATAACCTTTTGGTGACCGCCCAAGTACCTAAAGATGAAATTTTTTTCAAAATATAATGACATATAGCTAACAAAAACAAAATTTGGGGTTAAAACAGAACATGGTTGTATACATAATGACTTTTGTGGCATTAACCCTATAGGAAAATAGAACATGGTTGTATACATATGTTAGTTAAAGAACAAATGATAAACGGAAACATATCTAAAGAATACGAGAAAACAGGAAAAGAACGAAATCAAAACACACAAAACACAGGGATTTAAGTGGTTCACACTATCTTGCGGTATGTTACATCCACTGTCGAACTAGAGAGAAATATTTTATTCCACACACGCGTTTCTGCTGCAATGTTACAAATATGGTCGTTCATAAGTATATAAACGAGAAAATTTGACCTAAACATCTAAAAGGCCAAGCTTGACTGAAAAAAAAGAACTAAAAAGAAATTGGCCCGCCCAGCTTACGCCTAAGATCTTGGTCTGCACCCAAAAAAATTCCAGTCTTTAAATTTCAGTCCTGATGATAAGTCTCCATATCTGACAATCTCCCGTTTGGAGGCTTGACCATCATTCAACTGCCATCCAAGTTCGTATCTTCTATAACACTCGTCTCTCTCTCTCTAGTCCTTGCATCCTCTTCAAATTCCTAGAATCCGAGTTGAAGCCATGTACAACTTCAACTTATCAGTTAGTACCACCTTAGTAAACATATCAGCTGGATTTTTTGTACCAAGGATTTTCTTCAGATTTAGTGTACCATTAGTTATCAATTCTCGTATGAAATGATATCAAATCTTTATGTGTTTCGTTCGGCTGTGAAACACCAGATTTTTTGCGAGATGTACTGCACTTTGATTCTCATAGTGGAGACACATGGTCTTCTTGTTTTATTCCCAATTCTAACAAAAAGTTCTTCAACTATATGAACTCTTAGCTCGCTTCCGCAATGTCCATATATTCCGCCTCCGTAGTTTCAAGGGCAACACTTTTGTGAAGTCTAGACATCCAACTCACTGATGTACCTCCGATAGTGAAAACATACCCAGTAGTGCTTTTTCCCGAATCCGCACATTCCCCTAAATCAACATCAACAAATCCTTACAAAACCAATTTACACTGTTGAAACATAAATCGACTTCAGAAGTACCTTTTAAGTAATGCATCAACCACTTGACCCTTTCCTAATGCTATTTACCTGGATTTGACATAAATCTTCTCACAACTCCCACTGCATGTGCAGTGTCCGGTCTGGTGCACACCATAGCATACATTAAGTTGCAAACTGTTGATGCATACATGATTTTGGCCATTTCTTCTCTGTCTTCATCATCTTTGGGGTCTGTTTCTTGGAATGTTTTATCTAGCTTCCCAAAGGTGTACTTCTTGGTTTTGCATCGGTCATGATGAACTTCTCTAGAACCTTCTGAATATACTTCTGTTGTGAAAGCTTCAAAGTTACAACAACCATGTCTCTGAAAATGCTCATCTCGAGAATTTGTTTGGCAGCTCCTAAGTCCTTCATCTCGAACTCTCTGGAGAGCTGCTGCTTCAGTCTATTGATTTCATGTATGTCTGATCCAACAACCAACATATCATCAACATATAATAAAAGAATAATGTAAGAGGACTTGAACTTCTTCAGATAACATCATTGGTCCATCTCGTATCTCGTGTACCCATTTTTTACATGGAGCTGTTGAATTTTAAATACCACTACGTTGGGGCTTGTTTCAATCCATATAAACTCTTCTTCGGTTTACACACCAGATTCTCCTTACCATTCATCTAGAAACCTTTTGGTTGGGACATGTAAATATCTTCCTCAAGGTTACCATGTAATAATGCAATCTTAACATCCATCTATTTCAGATGTAAATTTTCAGCAACCATAATACTCAAGACCAGCTGAATAGTAGTCATCTTCACAACTGACGAGAAACCTTTTACAACTAGTCTGGATTTATACCTCTTGCTACCATCAAATTCATCCTTGATTCTAAACACCCATTTATTTTGCAAATCTTTCTTTCTTGTTGGTAATTTGACCAAGGACTAGGTATGGTTCTTGTCAAGTGAATCCAACTCCTCTTTCATGTCTTTCTTCCATTTTATAGAGTCTTTCAGTTTCAGCATCTCTAGATAAGACTCTGACTCTCCATTCTCTGTCAGTAACAAGTATTTAACCGATGGAGAATATTTGCTAGTGGATCTCCGATCTCTGGTTGATCTTATGAGATTCAGAGTTTCAATATCTGTCTGATTTGGAGCTTCATATTTTAACTGATCTGGGATTTTGGTTTCCGAGTCTTCATCGTCTTCAGAACTCCCATTGACTTTAGTATTTACTGTCTCTCCATCACTCCCACTATTTTCTGAGCCTTCACCTGTTTCAGGTTGTAAAACATCAGCATCATTCAATTCTTCGAACACCGCCTTCTGACTTCATTTGCTTTTGCTTAGAGCTGTAGCTAGATCATCTTTATAGAGGGCATCTTCATTAAAATTGACATCTCTACTCATGATCACTTTCATGGTTTGGTTATCCCATCATCTATAGCCCATATCATCCAACCCGTACCCGATAAAGATACACTTCTTAGCTTTGCTTTAAGTTTGTCTTTTTATGCATTTTTAACCTTGATATAAGCATTACAACCATAAACTTTAAGGTGAGAGAGAGATACTTCCCTTTTCTTCCATTCCTCTTCTGGAATTTTAAACCCAATGGGGACTGAGGGTCTACAATTTATAAGGTAAGCAATTGTGCTCACTGCGTCTGCCCAGAACATTTTTGGCATCCCTGAATGTAACCTCATGCTCTTCACCCTCTCGTTTAATGTTTTGTTCATCCTCTCTGCAACACTGTTGTGTTGAGGTGTTTCTGGCACAGTCTTCAACATTCTGATCCCGTATTTTGCATAGTAGTCGGTAAACTCCTTGATGCTATATTCACCCTTATTATCTGACTTTATACATTTTATCTTCAGATTCGGCTTGTTCTCCACAACAACTTTGAACCTTTTAAAAGTACAGAAAACGTCATATTTATTTTTTAGAAAGTAAACCCATACCTATGGGTGTAAACGAGCCGAATCGAGCCAAGTAGTACCAGGCTCGAAGCTCGATTCGACAAAAACACTTGAGCTTGAAATTCGACTCAAACTCGGTGGAGCCTACATTTTCAAAATCGAACTCGAGCTCGTGAAATACTCGATACTATCAAGCTCGACTCGATTAAATATAACAAAGTAAAAAAAATACAAATTTATGTAAATACATTAAAAATAGGATTAACTGTAAATTTTAAAACATTTCACATGTTTTTACATATTCCAAACTAGCCAAAAAA